ACACACACACACACACACACACACACAGTAACACCTAGCATTTAACAGGTGCTCAGTTAGGTGCGTGTTCCAGGTACTGTGCTCAAACAGCACCAAGACAACCTCAGAGGCAACAGGTTCCTGGATCGTGCCCATTTTACAGATAAGGGATCTGATGTGCCTGATATTAGGACTTTGCTCAGGGTCACAGAGCACACCCAGGGCTTGCTCTCCAAAAGTGAGCTCTTCGCCACAAAGTTCTCTGGCATGGACCGCAGGGAAACCACCCACCATTCCAGGCAGTGCTGAGTTTGCCCTTGAGAAAGATAAGGGTGCAATATGCCTGGGAAAAGGGCATGTTCATCTCCAACCCCAGGGGTATAACGTCCGGGGAAGAGGGGGATGCCTGTTTTACTGACAAGAAAACTAAAGCTCAAGAATGTTCAGAAATTCTCCCAAGGTCACAGAATGGCCTAGGACTTCCCACTTCTGGTTTGTGACATCAGGTGTCCAGGGCTGCAGGCCAGAGACTGAACCTAGCAACCAGCCAAATCCCAGACTACTGGGCAGTTCTGTCAGTCGTAGCTTGTCGAATAGTGTCAACATCACCTCTGTTGTCATTCTTTGCACCCACATGACTACCAGGAGCTTGCTCTGATATGAAACCTTTATTTTTAAACTGGGTTCACAGCAATTCATAGCCCATGGATGGCAAGAAACATTCCCATAGGAGAACTTGCAAAATAAGGATGGGAACCAGTATCAGTGAACTCTATGGAAAGACCTTTGGACACCAAGGAATGGATACCACCCTCCTAAATGAAGCCCAGGGCTGGCTCCGGCCACTGACAGGCCACTCTTTTTGGTCCCTTCAGGCTAGGAAATCCAATGGATGGTGCTAATCTTAATTCTTTTTTTTTTTATTATTAAGAAAGGTAGATTTAGCCGGGCTCAGTGGCTCAGCCTGTAATACCGTGCCTTTGGGAGGTTGAGGTAAGTGGATTGCCTGAGCCCACAGGTTCGAGACCCGCCTGGGCAACTTGGTGAGACCTTGTCTCTATAGTAAATCAAAAATTAGCCGGGCGAGGTAGCGCACGCAGGTAGTTCCAGTTACTTGGAAGGCTGAGGCGAAAGGATCGCCGGAGCCCAGCAGGTCGAGGCTGCGGTAGCCGGGAGTGGTCACTGCACTACAGTCTGGGCGACAGAGTGAGACTCCAACTCAAAAAAAAAAAAAGGAAGGTAGATTTATTAAAGGAAAGATATGCTATGAAGGGCACAATGAGCAGAACAAAAGCAAGAGCATCTGCTGCCATCTTAATTCTTTCGTGAGAGGCCTCAGAAGCAGGCGCGCTGTGCTGCTCTGCGGCAGGACCAAAGTCAATAAAAAAGTCGGTTGTGAAGCTGGGCGCAGTGGCTCACACCTATAATCCCAATGCTTTGGGAGGACGAGATGAGAGGATTGCCTGAGCCCGCAGGTTCGAGACCAGCCTGGGCAACTTGGCGAGATCTTATCTCTACAATAAATTTTTTAAAAAATTAGCCGGGCATGATGGCGCATGCCTGTAATCACAGCTACTTGGAAGGATGAGGCAGAAGGTCCACCTGAGACCAGCAGGTCAAGGCTGCGATGGCCAAGAGCGTGCCACTGCACTGCAGCCTGTCGACAGAGTGAGACTCGACTCCAACTCAAAAAACTAACCAACTAAATAAATAAAAGTCAACTGTGTTTCTACACACTAGCAATAAACAACCAGAACCTCAAACCTTAAAAAAAATCTGCATTAGCATAAAAGACATGAAATACTTAAGGGTAAAGAAACTACAATAAAAATGGATAAGAAAAGTGAAAGAAAACCAAAATCAATAAAGAGATATGCCTTGTTCACATGTCAGAAGTTATCAATTCTCTCTCAAATTAGTCTACAGATACAATGTAATCAGAAGCAGAAATTTCCAGCAGCAGTTTCTGTAGAAACAACAAGCTGAAGCCCCGGGTGGTGGCATGTGCCTATAGTCCCAGCCACACAGGAGGCTGAGGAGGGAGGCTCACTTGCGCCTAGGAGTTTGAGGTTGCGGTGAGCCGTAATCATGCCACTACACTCCAGCCTCCATGACAGAGTGAGACCTTGACTCAAAAAAAAGAGAAATGACAAGCAAGTTCTAAAATTTATATGGAAATGCAAAGGACCTAGATTAGCAAAAACAACATTGAAAATCAGGAACAAGTTGGACTCGATGGCTCAGCCTGTAATCCCGCGCCTTTGGGAGGTAAGTGGATTGCCTGAGCCCGCAGGTTCGAGACCAGCCTGGGCAACTTGGCAAGACCTCATCTCTACAATAAATCAAAAATGAGCCGGGCGTGGTAACGCGCGCCTGTAGTTCCAGCTACTTGGAAGGCTGAGACGGAAGGATCGCCGGAGCCCAGCAGGTCGAGGCTGCAGTGGCCGGAATGGCCACTGCACTCCAGTCTGTGTGACAGAGTGAGACTCCAACTCAGAAAAAAAAAAAAAAAAGAAAATCAGGAACTAATTTGGTGGATCTGTCCTACCTAATTTCAAGACTTACCACAAAGCTACAGTAACGAAGACAATGTAACATGAACACAAAGACACACAAGTAGATCCACAAACAGAAAAGATCCACACACATGTGGTTAAACTGACATTCAACAAAGATCCAAGCACCCTGCTCTTGCAACTACAAGACAAGCAAGATGACATCTTCCTGGAGGAGTAGCGCATGGAGGAAGGTCAAATCGTAACATGCACAGTGCTCGGAGTACAGTGCCACAGGCAAGGAGTCTCACGGCAACCTCACACTTTCCCACTCCACCCAGCCACACAGTCCAACTCAGGGCAAATCCATCCCTGTAGATGCGCAGATGAAAACGTGGAACGTGGCCCTCTCGGGTGGACGGCCCTCTCGGGTGGATGGGAAACCTATTAAAGCTCAGCCCCAGGCTGGGCAGAGTGGCTCACACCTATAATCCAAACACTTTGGGAAGCCAAGATGAAAGGATTGCCTGAGCCTGCAGGTTTGAGACCAGCCTGGGCAACTTGGTGAGACCTCATCTCTACAATAATTTTTTTTTTTTTTT